CGGCTTCCCCGGGCCCGCGACCCCCGGGCCACTTGTGCTCGGCCAGGCCGCGGCCGGACCCCCGCGTCCATGCGGTTCGGGTCCAAAATGATGCCGGTAAGCGGGTGGGCGTGCTGGGGCTGCGGTTTGGGGCCCGGAAGTGTGCGGGGCGCGGTGGCCGGGGCAGCCGAGCCAGTAGAGCTCGGAGCTTCGGGACTCCGAGGCTTCGTGGTGCCCGGTCCCCGCTAGGGTCGCGATGCTGCCTCGCAGGTCAGGGCAACAGCCTTGGGCCGCCACTCCAAACTTTGCCTCTCGGATTGAGACATTTTGGGGGGGCTGTTTTGAAGGTCAAGAGCTGGGGCACTGGGCTGTTCTTTTAATTGTTTAAGGCTTTTTACAAGAGTGAAGCATAACGCTGGAAAAGGCTTGCTTTTCCTTTTCTTTATTTCTGCCAATTCTCCCCCCTCCCCCTTGAATTTCGATCTGATGTTGGTGATAGCAGCCAAGTCACCCTATCTCTTTGTGGAAACAGGTTTTAGTAAATGTAGCCTTCAAAGTTTTAGTTCGCAGGAAAACTTCTGTGACCCGCTCCTAGAGCTTGTTCTGCAAGACCTCTGGGAAAGGAGTGAGTTCTTTAGGCATCCGACTTGCTCACCAGACCGCAGGTGATCTGCAGCTTCGAAGGAGGGGTTTCTGAAAAGCCACTTTTCTTCAGCGAGCGCAAGATTTGGCTAGTCGTGGTGGCCTCTATAGTCGTGAATTTCCTCGTGGGTGTTGCATTGCTCCTCTCGCAGCAGAATCAATCTTGCAGTCAACTTGAGTTCTTTTTTTTAATAATAATAATTTTTATATATTCTTCGAAAAGTTCATGTATTTTAATCATAACCATCGCTAAGTTCCATTCAACTCATGTTCGTATAACTTCACTTGTTTAAGAAAACAATACAAAACACCTGAAACAACCTTTACTTTTGTAAAATCCATGGAATAGAGCGATGAAATTTGTGTGTGTGTGGGGGGGGTCTGTTTTGTTTTTGTAATTACACTTGCAAAATATACTATGTTGTCTCCTTGCCCCTTTGTGTTATGGAAGATGTCCTAAATTTTTCTGTCTTATACATACACATAATAATTTGATTTTTTTTTTCTGGGAAGGGGAGTTAGATGACTTGGGATGTTTTTTATTGGTAAGAGTCAAGGAATTTGGAATTGTTAGCATTTTGTATCTTCTGGTTTAGTATTCCTTGTGTTTTTATTTCTTTGTTGTGAAGAAAAACTTTTGTAGCTCCTTCTTGGAAGATCAGTTCAGTAGCAAGGTAGCCTTTGTTTTGTTTTCCTTTTTCTTTTCTTTCTCTCTCTTTCTTTTTTATTTTTTGAGACAGGGTTTCTCAGTGTAACAGTCCTGGCTCTGTAGACCAGGCTGGCCTCGAACTCACTGAGTTCCACCTGCTTCTGCCTCCCAAGTGCTGGGATTAAAGGCTTGTGCCACCACCCTCCGGCCATTTTGTTTTTCTTCTTGTTTTATGTAGGGATGTTTTCCTCCCAACTACATAAAAGATCATCTGAATTCTTATAAGAAGTTAGGAATCTTGGAAAGTCCATTAAGTAGTGTGGTTCTGACTGCTTTTCTGACGTCAGAATCTTAATAGAACAGGTGTAGTGTGCATGAGGCTCTTTGAAATTTTGCACATTAGTAATCTCAGTTGTTTATAAAAAGCAAAACTGTCCTTGCTTCAGTATCTGTAGTTGGGGATGGTGGAGTGCTAGTTTTCATTGTGGTCTGGAAGAGTAGAGTTACTCTTTAGGAAGGACGGGATTAGTGTGGGGCCTGGCCTAGGATAGGAGCTATATAAAACTGAACTGGCAACAGTGATTGCCCATGAGGCTCTCATTCTTCGATACATAAGATAGATTTTCATTTAGCAGCCTTGTGTTCTTTTTACAAAAGGTTTATTTTATGTCTGTGAGTGTTTTCCTCGCGTGTGTGTCTGTGTGTGAGCCAAGTGTGTGCCTGGTTCCCCACAGAGGTCAGAAGAGGTCATCAGATCCCCTGGAACTGGAGTTGCGAATAGTTGTGGAGCTGCTGTGTAGGTGGTGGGAATTGAATCCGGGACCTCTGTAGGACTAACAGATTCTCTTAACCTCTAAACATCTCTCCAGCCCAAGCCTCAGGTCTTTGTTCTTGTATTATGAGGGTACCTGAAAAGGAAACTTCGTGTGTGTAATAGCAAGAATGGAACCCAGGCCTTGTATACATGCACTCTGTTTATTTATTTTTTTTTTTTTTTTTTTTTTTTTCTAATCATTTTCAAGGGCTATATATATATATATATTTTATATATATATATCTCACTCTGTTACTGATCTATAAAGCCCCTAAAAGTTTATCTTGGTTCTTTGAGATAGACTGGTGCGGCACCTACTCTGTAGCTCAGACTGCCCTTTAGCTCACAGCAATTCTCCTGCATCAGCATCTGAAATGCTGGGGTAACAGGCATGGGCCACCATTCCTGGCTTAAAACCATATTCTTAAATGTGGTTTTTATCTTTAGCTTTTAATATGCTTGGAACTTGATTCTAGTACGAGGAAGGTTTTGTTGTATTTTGTTCTTTGGGAAACTAAAAGTTTGTCAGGAAAAGCATCGTACTAATGGAAAGATGGACACTCAAAGCACAGACCAGTTACCTTGATGTGCCTTTTTTTTTATGTGGTAAACTATACATAATTTAAAAATGTACCTTTCTAATCATTTTCAAGGGCAATTTTATGGCACTAACTGCATTCCTTGGTTTGTTTTGGAAGGCATTTTGGAGTTCTGTAGCCTTATACTGAATACATACAAAAAATGGTATTCATGTATTCTCTTACCAAATAGTACAGACTCAAGTAGTTTTTCTTTATGTGGGACACAGTGATAATTGGTTGCAAAGCCAGAAGTGAAGATGCACTCTAGCAGGCTAACTAAAAATAAACAGAATCGCAGCAGCGCTAATGATAGGGTGCTGTGCGAGTGGGAATGACGGCTCCTCTCGCTCTCAGATGCCTGCCATGGTTAGCATCTGGAGCTCTGTGCTGTCTCCGCCAGTTCGTGAGGAGAAACTGAGTCTAGAGCCGACACCTTGCCTTCATTTCAGAAGGGTTGTTTGAACTTGGGCCAGGTGGCGGTTTAGTTTTCCATTCATTGTAACTGATTTTCAGATGGAGGCAGTTATCCAAAACAAAAATTCTTACCCACTTGAAAATTATACTAGATTTCTTCTATGTATTTCTTTCCTTTTGTAAAGTGTTATATGCCAACAAAAATAACATTTTTATGAAAGAGCTTATCAAGCTCTGAAGGAATTTACTGCTCTTTTCAGAAACCAGTTTCATAAAAATTTAAGTTCCTGTCTGTTATTGAAATGGTAAATTAAAAAACAAATTCCACCTATGAAAAGCTATCCCCTGTAATTGCCAGTGCCCCATAGAAGGCTGGAGGCCTTGTATTTGCCTGTATGGTGCATTTGGGCACACTAGTGTAGACAGTGGGGTGTGCTGGCCTATGCTATCCGGCAGTACCTTGTACACAGTGTGGCTATTGTGAGTTAAGAACTGAACTTGAAAAATGATTCATTTTAATTATGTTTAAATAGCTGTGTGTGCCTGGTGGTGACTGTTTTGCATGCGCAATCAAACCAAATGTCATCATACTACAGATAATCTTTCCAGACACACTAGCTTGTTTTAAAAAGCTCAGTTGATCTGACCACGGTTTAGTTTCAAGTTTGTGGCCTTTTTCCTGTCAGTGCTGCAGGGGCATAACCATTTGGAGTTTTTTTGTAGAGCTAGAGAGCAAACCTGATTCTGGGGGCCTCTAGTTGTCCCAGTGACTCCGTTAGCAGCGTGGCACCTGGTCAGCAGTTTCTCTGTTCTGTAGTTGTGCTCTGCAGACCAAAAGCCCCACTTCTGCTCAAGTACTGTATTTTTAAAAGTCCGGTTTTATTTGCCACTGTTTTCCAAACTGAAATATTTTTTAAACTGTAACAGGAGCGGCGGGCTGCTTTTTGTCCCGCCCAGCTCCTGGCCGCCTGGCTAGCTTTGCCCCCGAAATAACAACACACAAATTGTATTCATTTAAACACTGCCTGGCCCATTAGCTCTAGCCTCGTACTGGCTAACTCTCACATCTTGATTAACCCATTTCTATTAATGTGTGTAGCACCACGAGGTGGTGGCTTACTGGGAAGATTCTAACCTGCGTCCATCTTGGG